GGAATGGGAGTTACTAACATCTGGAGCCTATAGGAGGGAAGGGAAACGCTCTCTAGTTTCCTAGAGATGGGGCCTGTTGTGGTTACAAAAGTAGGTTTCTGTATTTTCTGCTTAACTCTGGATTGTTGTGGACAGACAAGTCACCTCATGATGCTCTTCATTAGTGAGAGAGCTATAGGAAAGAAGACACCAGGGAGAAATTTAATTCAAATGTGTGCAAATACCATCCTTGGGGTCTAAAGCAGGATTTTCCCTCTCAGATTCCACACCTCTTAGAGAATTCACATACTACTTGGAGCCTTATCCTTCTCTTAAACCCCTATTTTAAATGGGGGTAATATTTTTGCCTGGAGAACTGAGAATACCTTTTCTCCAGATACAGAACATCCAATATTCCCCTAATCCCTCCCCATAAGAGCCAAATAGCACACACACCCCCCAGCCAATTGTATTATTGGGAGCTTAGAAGGGAGAAACCAGAAGATTCATACCTATGAGAAGTAAGAATGTATGGCTAGGGTTACACAATCACTTAGGAGAAGGTAATTTCCCATGTTTGGTGGAAGAGATTCTTGCCACAAGGCAAGAAATTGCATGCACTCTACTAGCACATGCCTGCTAGAAACTGCTTATAATAGCTAAAGCACACTTAGTAGTTTTACTAGCAACATTTTACTAATAGCTTTGCTTCACTAATAGCTTTTGCCAGCTTACAAGTATTTGAAGACTTCCATGTTAGTAGATTTTACACTGACAAGTTTTTAGTGTCAACCTGGCTTAAGATGTCATTCAGAAACCCTGGCTGCTAGCTGAGGTTTATTCTTTGTAATAAAAGGCCAAGGATAGAGCCAAGAGTCTCAGAGGCTAATGGGGTAGAGCCAGACCATGAATAATTGAGGGTATGTTCTCCATTTATGGCATTGAGTGGCAGCAACTGGCTGTGAAAATACATTTGTGGGAGTCCCAGGGTCCTCAGGCTTTTCAGCGATAAGCCTCTGCGGCTGCTGTTCCTCACCTTCCCCAACCAAGTCACAGAGTCTGACACCACCACTTGCAGTCTGTCCTTCAGCAGCCAAAAATCAGAGCTTTTCTGAATTCAGCCTCAATTCCTGAGCAAAGCTGGCAGGGACCAACCACGCCACCACACGTGGGAGAGTTACAGAGAAAAGAACAGCTGCCACATGTTACCTTTGAGCATGTGCCTTGCAGAAACCATTTCAGAAAACAAGATGCATTGCAACCTATAGGCTTACCCATACCCACTCTAACTAATGCAATTCTTCTTCCCTTTCCAGAAGGAAAAAACACCTCATGGGAAGAATTATAGCAGCTTCCGAGTTCCTCATGATCACACAGAATGAGGAATGTCACCAGTTTATTACTAGGGCCCTTACTTAAGGCCACAGGGAGGTCACAACTATATTCTTGCAGTATTAATTATTGGCCTGGGACAGCTATATAGCAGCTTATTGGTTACGCACAAAATGCTTTCATGTGCTGAGCTACTGCAGAGGCTGGCGCTGTGGGTTTTGCTAGACAAACACTGCAGCTCCCAAGAAGTCTGAGTGCTATTCCGATTTCTAGTTCCAGCGGCAAACCTTTACCTCTGGAGATGAGCTGGGAGCCTGGCCCAAGGAGCAGCAGCAGGTTTCTTGCTCTCTGAAGGTCTGAGGACTTTCTTCCTGGAATCCTTTTTTATATCAGGTTTTTAGGCATCAAATACCTCCTCCTTCCCCCCAGACCAACCACACCGAGGAACTGAGGATGGAGGGAAACAGGAGAGAGATGCGGACAAGGAAAGAAGCAGCAGGAGAGCTACTTAGGGCAGAAACCCAAGAAGCAAGCACAACCCATATACAGTAGTGGAAAACATGCAACAAAACATCCAACTGAGTGTTGCTCCAAGAAATGGAAGGGAAAATTATCCCTAAAAATGCCAAGCACGCAGCACAAATCGTTTATGATGAGAATGCATTTGTAATTACAAGTTATTTTAGTTACCCTGCTGCCAGGAGTAACTAGGAGCAGAAGGAAGCGATCAGTGTCATCATCTTGTCCCCCAGGGACCAGCCAATGCTGCTGATACTGCAGCACCCGGGCTGAGTTTTCTTGGTGGAACACCTCCCTCCAGTGGCCAAAGGCAAGTGGTTTCCACAGAGCTCGGGCAGTTGGGGACCCAGCTGCGGACAAGCAGCAGTCCTCACCTTCCCTCCTTTCTCCTTCCAGCTCCACATCAGGCTGAAGGAGAACCAGCAGTGCCTTTCCCCACCTAGCAGCCTCCTGATCAGGTTTGGCAGCTTTGCCATGGAGTGTAGCCCTCTAAATCATGAGGCCCTGGGAAAGCATTGCCACCTGATTAAAGCAGGGTGCTCTGGGAAACCAACCAGAAAGAGGGAAGATCCCATATGACCAAGAACCAAGCCCTCCTCAAGCATACCCCAGGACAGCCTAAAGGCACAAGTTGTACTCACAGATCAGACAGATCATTGCACCCTACTCTGGGTCCAAGATCCATTTAAGCACCTCTCACCCTGCACTTGGCTGGTCAGGGCAACTGAAGTCTTGACTTTAGACCAGTTGCCACCAGTGTTTGCTGGTAGCACCCCAGCACCTTCTTCTCTGCAAACTTCATTCTGTTTCTTCAAATATGTATGAGGACTTAGGTCATGCTTATTACTTCTTAAAGCAACAGCTCCAGACTCCATTAGTGCACTAACATAGGTCCTTCTAAGGACAGCCATTTTAAATGGCCAGAAACACCACCACAGAGCAGGATCTGAAGGAATTTTGATATGCAGCTCATATCCACTTCTCAACTGCTTAGCTGAAGGAAGCAAGAAGATTCATACAGTTGCTCTATCTACTTCCCAAGAGCTTTTCAAAGAGTCAAGCCCAGTGTGTGGTGGCACAACCTACAAAAATGGCTACCTCAGCTTTCTTCCTCCTCACAGAGGCAGGGCAGGGTCCGAGAAGTCTTTTCTTCTTTTAAATAGCAGCCTGGAGGCAGGAGCCTACTGAAAGTGAGTAGAAAGAGGAAAAAAATGATGAAGCTAAGCTAGCAAGAGCTGTATGCACTGTGGGCATAGCACCAAGCTTATGTTTTGTCAGAGTTAGTCCCCAAGGCTTATGACTTCATACAGTGCAGACTGTACAGATTTGAAGCGACATCTTCAAATACAGAGATCACTTAGCTTAGGAGACAGCAGGTAATTCAAAGGAACTACCACTCAGTCAGCTCACCCAGACATACTTCATAAAACAAGGCAAAGTTTACTTTAGAATATAGCCTAGGAAAATTGTCACCTCCCTCTGCTGGGCAGTATCCTCACAGTCCGCATGGATCCCACACATGGACCTCAGAACAGCTTTTGACAGGCCCTTTGCTACCTTGAACAAACAAAGTGTCACTGATTTGCAAGTAAGCAGAAGGGGGTGGAGAGGGGGCAAGGGACCACTGCAACGCACAAGTCGTAGGCAGAGATATATTTTTTTAGCAAAGTCTTTATTACAGAAATATTCACCCTCTAGATTTTTATATCTGTACATGCATTTCTTCCAGTAGGAAGACGTTGCTAAAAACAGACAAAAAACAAAAAGGAAACCCAGCATGGGTTCCTTTTTACTTGCTGCTCAGCATTGGCATCTGTAACTGAACAAGAATCTTACAAATAAGAACACATTAGAGAACAGACTTTGTGCTACAAAAACTAGCAAGCTTTACTGCTAAGATGGGTGCCTTCTGCTATAGCAAAGGTCAGCTTGAAGGATCTGTGCAGGAGGGGGCAGGTGTCTCAAAACAGCAAAGCCTTATCAGACCTCCAATAAAAACCAGTTGCCCAGTTGTATCCACTCTCCACAATCACTGCTGTGTCCAGAGATAAGGACAGAGCAGGGACCCACTGCTGGGGCCCTGATCCCCTGCACAAGCCTTTCTTCCCAGAAGGAGAACTGAGTAGGTAGCGAAGCCATCCCTTTGAACTGCTACTAGGGTTATTCCTACCAAGCCCACCCCTGACAAGAAACAGTCTTGGGACCACCTTCGTAAGGCAAAGGCTCTCTCACCAAGTACCTTGTATCAGGTCTCAGGCAAGGACCATCTACTTCTCTCTCATACAGCTTCCTGCTGTCAGGGTGATTGCACGCATGTGCAACTGCGGGAAATCTGTTGTGCCCAAGCCACCTCTAAGACTGAGGATTTGCACCCAGCTCCCTTATCTAAGAAGCTGGGGCACTTTTCCACATACATTTCTTACTTTCTTCCACTCTACACCACTCCTTGCTGCTGGCCACCGGCTGAATAGAGCAAACAGCCCAGCCATTAAGTACAGAAACCACCCAGCCTGCACGGCTGCAGAACCAGCTACTTATCTGCTGCAGTGCTTACACTTGAGACAGAGCTCAGGATGCAGCTACAGCTCCAGACCATGGTGGAGTCAGAAGACCGGACAACTGAAATAAAAGCAACTTATCCTTGCATCCAAACTACAGAACCTAAACCGGGCACTGGTAGCAGTGATATCTCCAATATACAGCATCAGCAATCCAGTCAGATCCCTCCATATTCGTAATTAAAAACCACCGCTAACAAATTTTATGTTCATAAAGGGGGCAGGAGGAGAATCCAGTAATTCATAACCTCTATAGAAGTTGGCAACCCAAGAATGCAACCAGCAGAACCAGCCCGGGGCTGAGTCCACACTAGGCAGCAGTCTCTGAAGTGCCTCCAAGCTGACAGGAGCCAGCAAAGCAGTGCTAGGGGGAGAGAAAAGGTAAAGAGACAAGCGGGGAAAAAAATATAAGTGTCAAATCCAGAACCCAAGGGACCCATTCCAGAAGCAGCTGAGCACCACCACCACCATCTGCCAAGCCACACTAGGAATAGGCAGGCTTGGCTCCCTCCTGGTGGCTTCTCATCACACTCAAAGGGAAGAGCTCCGCTGAAGGCAAGGCATAGCTGACTCCAGAAGCGGGAGAAGCGAGTGTGAGGGTAGCGCTCGACATTTCAGACGAGAGCCTAGGCTGGAAGATGCACAGTAGGAGTTGAATCAGGTTAACTGCCAGGGAGGAGAAGGCTTACAAAGCACGACTAGTTACCACCACAAGTCAGTGAAGCAGGTGAAGCTACCAAAGCACTGGAATCTCAACAGCAATCCTGGCTCATGGGACAAAGAGATGGGACTTCTGGGGGTAGGGGGAAAGATGTGTGGGAGGAGAACGATGAGGGAGAGGAGTTACTGTATGTTAGGCCCAATGGGTTGTAGAATGGAGATATGAATAGTATTGTTTAACGTGGAGCAGGCAGCAAAAGCATTGTCCCCTCAGGTTAATTGGTGTCTCGTGTGATACGAGACAGTTAAGTTCTGCTTCTTGAAGTAGAAATAATCCAGAGGCAGGATGCAGGTGGCCCAAGGGCCCTATTGCCAGAAGATCAGGCTGTATTGCAGCTCTAACAGTTCTTAGCAGAGTGGTATCAGAAATGGGATGTCACAGGAATAATGGTCAATGGTTGGACAGTCTGGGTATGAGGCAGGAATGTTCTGTTTGCTCCTTTCTCTGTGGTGCCGTAGTTCTGGAGTCAGCCCACTCAAGACTTGGGCACTTTGGTGTAGTCTTCGCTGTGTATGTTCTTGCAGAGTGAAATGGACAGTATCATCCCCAGCAGCTGCAGTAAGTAATGAAGAATGGGAACAAAATCAGCTACCAGACAGATAATAAGGGCGGTACAGGGGAGCAGAATACAGTGGTCTCCTTTTAATGACACCACACAGGTGAACAGAGTTGGTGTCCCCAATGCAAGGAAAATGCAATAATCGGGATGACCAAAATGTTTTGCTGCAAAAAGATGTGCCTTCATCCAGAATCTCTGTTACGGGCTTTTTAAGGCAACAAGTGGGGTCTCACTGGTGGGATGTTGCTTGTCTCATTCTTCCTGGTTATGCATGCAGTGAATTGCCAAGCATCAGACACAGCAGCAGGAACCACAAGTAGACAGGGCTTTGTTCAATTTTTAATCCAACCAATAAAAGCAGCAGTTCAAAGCTCCAGGTAGACACAACCAAGAGCTAGAACTGCACTGCCATTAAACCAGGTGTCTATTACTTGAAAAAATAGCTTTGCCTTTAAAGGGTCTGCATGGTAAGACAGTATAGGTTCATGTCAGGGAGTGACTTACCTCTATAACAGCAACACCGGTGCAGACCCCAAGAATGATACCAAGGTTGTCCTTCAACCACTTCTCTACACCATCCATGCATCCCTATGGGGAAAACATGGTCACAAGGGAAAGAAGCACGAATCCAAGCATCTCAAGACTGAGAATCCATAAAACATCTCCTTGTGCGTGCAGAGATTATCCCAGTATATACACGCTATACCAAGGTGCACAGTAGCTTTAGCAGAGAAGGGCAGGATCCCTGTTCTCCCTTACCCCCATTTCCACAGGTACTTCAAACAATACTGACATGAAAAAAATGTTCTAAATAATTCCCAGAGGAACAAAGACAAGGCAACTTCAGGGGAAGCTTCACAGGTCCCAGACGTACCCACTCACCTGCTCATGAACAGGCCAGTCAGCATATGTTGCAGTGCCGTTGACAGGGACATCCAGATTACAGAAACCACTATCTACCTGCAAGTCCTTGGAGCTATTGGAGCAGGAGCAGGGATATGCAGTCATGCTTTGGTTGATAAGAATCTCATTATTTTCCCAGTCCTTTGCTCCAGTCCAACCACAGCAGGCGATCTAATAAGCAGAGAGAGATCATCATGGTCTTACACTTTGCACTGGTAACATACTGCACATAAAAACAAACAGGCAGTGGAGGTAGAAGGAGCTCTCCATGTAACAACAATAGTCAGGCCATACAATTTGCATGAATTAGTTACATTAGAACCTCACCCCGGTTACCAGATGATAACCTATGCATAGGGCCGTCCAGAAGACAGGGGCATTATTTCCCGCCAAAGAATCACTCTGCTAGAAAGACAAGAGTTAAAGGGCACTTTCTAGCAGACTTTGAGCATAGTAGACTATAATATGCACAGCCCATCCATAAAGTTCAGCACACCAGTCATGCTAGAATATGAATCCTTCACAAGTCTCACTGCATGAGTCCTAGATACTCAGATTTCAGCAGGCCATGCAACTTGACATCAATTCTACAGAGTGTAATTTTGATTAGTTTTTGCAAACTAAATACTAGCAAACCTCATCTTATCTCCAGGTGACAATGCTAAACAGAAGTAAAAGTCCAAAACAGATGTTGCTGGTGGGTCAGCTGGAGGAGGGCAGTTGTCCTGTATGACACGTTTAAGAGATTTTTTTTTTCAGTCCCTTCAGTTCATCGTCAGCAGATTGATTTGGCGAGAGAGAAGCAAGGCAGGCAAGAGATTAATGTGTTGACAAGACATCCTGTGTATTCAAAGGCATCTCAAAAGGATTACTATCTAGTCTTCCACTAGCAATGCCATTTCCATAGGTTTAAATGCTAAGACTTCATTTTTCTTTGAGTAACACATTTTTTGAGCAGACATGAAGCAGGAACTTTTAATTTTCTGGTTCCCAACTGCAAGGTACCACTGATCTTAGCTGTGGCTAAGGGGGTGGCCGGGGGACACCAGCAGCCACTGCATGATGGCTTTGACATGCTGCCGAGTCCCAGCGAGTCATGACGAGTTTGCACCCACCTGGCTGCAGTTGGGACTGGCTGGAAGATGGGATGAGGAAAGTTTTCCATCCAAAGAAACATTTACATTCCTATAGAGCCACATGATAAAACTGCAGTTGCTGGAGGGAAAAGCACATCAGGAAGTCCAGCAAAGACTAACATCTTATCTTAAGCACGGATCCCAATGCTTGCACGGTGGTACAGAGCAGAAAGGCTATCAAACTTGAGGTAGAAGTTTAGGGAAAATCCCCTGCTGCTCAGAAAGGAAATGTAATGTTTCAGTCTGACATAACAGACATGAGAGCAGAGGTACAAACAGCTGAACACCCACACCAGGACGAGCATTTGGTTTCCAAACAAGTGTTGAAGATCCAGCCTCCAGAAGCAACTACCTCTGCCTCAGAGGTTTAGACTTTAACTCCAAGACTGGTCTACAGAACACCCACCCCCTTTCAAATGCTAACTCTAGTGTATGAGAGGAATTAGACACCTAACACTCGACTTTTCCACCTCTACAAAGCCTTCTTCTTCTGTTCCTACATAAAAGAAGGGCTCAAGCAAGATCCTCTCTCCACAGTACACTCAGCCTCCTCTTGAGTCCAGCAGCAAGGAGGTGCAACTACAGTGATAAAACATAAATAAATCATTCTCCCTCCAAGGAGGGGAAATACTGCAGGTCAGTGTTTTGCAGACCAAAGAACAGACAGAAGAAAAGTGTTATTACTTGTACTTACTACACACCAGTCCCATGCTGGGCATGTATTTAACCACAACAGCCAGCCAGCTCTCAAGCTTGTGGTTTGGCAGTAAACAGCGATCATGACTCCAGTGTGCCTGAACATTGACCTAGTTGCTCAAGCGCTGACCCTGATGCTAAAACAGAAACCATGGGTGGTTGGGTGGCTCCCAAGAACGCCGACACTTGCAGAAGAGCCATCACAATAAGCAAGCAACACGTGCCAAGCAGTAAGGCAGGCAGTGCTGCTGACTTGCCTGGCAATAAGCTAGGGACTTTACTTGCTACAAAAATAGTATGCACTGTGGTTTTCACACATGCTAGTATTCTGGAGGCTCTGCAGACAGAAGTGTTGGGGAGCCATTTGATAGTCCAGATGCATTAGGCTATGCAGCCAATACTAGCTAGTCCTAACAGCCAGCATAGAGGAATGGTTCAGGGTCTTACCTAGTAATAGCAAGCAAGACAGTTTTCTAGTATGCAGGCACCAAACCTCACAGGCAAATTTATAGATCAGCCAGATCAATGTGCTACAGTACTACCTCTTGCAATACCTGTTTCCCTGTCCTCAGCTAGTTTTAGAGGCCATTTACTGCACTGACAAATGGCATCATCTGCCTCTGCTGCCCCCCATGACCCACCTGTGTTTGCACATAGTCCCATGCATCTTGTAAGTTCCTCTCATCATCATTCAAAGGGTCATAATTTTCAATCAGACTTCCAACTATGCGGGACAACTCTTCCTTCAGCTGGCAAGGAAAAAAGGCAGGAGAGTTAGATTAGTTAATCCTTTGTAGCCTCTTCTTGGGGGCTTAGGGTACATAACACCCCTCCCTATCACCTGTGTTAGTCCTGCTGTGGGTCCACCTTCCCCACAATGGAGAAAAACAAGGGCTTATCATTGTCATGAGTGTGAAAACATTTTGCTTTGCTCTAGCTCCAGTGAATGAGGCTAGAGCAGAGACAAACTGCAGATAGAGATTACAAGCACTGCAAAGAAAAAGTGGAATGGGCAGTAGCTTCTGCTTAGACCTTCCCCAAAGGAAACAGTAATAGGTGCTCAGGCTATCACACTCCCACAATACAGCTATTTTTAAGTTACAGCAAAAAGACACATAGAACCATGACTAAAATCATTGGAAAATGAGCATTTAATTGGCACACAAAGCAATGCTTAAAGGAAAAAAGCAACCAGGCAGTGACAAATCCTGCAGACTGACTTTCAAATACCTTACTCTGCAGTCTTGTCTATACGTTTGAGAAGAGGCCATACATATGATCAACAGGATGGAATACAGAATAGCTTTACCAAGATAAAGTCCCACTATGATGACCAGGTGGCATTTCTTGCTAAGAAAGTTTTTTTCCAGGCAGAAGTAAACACAAATCCACCGTAGCTTTCAATGTTGCATGGCCTGCTGCTGTGTGAGAGGTAAGTTATTCTACAGAAAATGAGTTAATTCTAGGTCCCCATTTCCTCCACCAACCAGTTTCTTCTCAAGCTTATTAAGCAGATGGGAGACTGCTACCCAGGTTCCTCAGAAGGTGAGGCTTGGAATAAATTCCTTTGCTTATTTAGTACAGCATTATACTTGTTACAGTGTTGATGGGAAGCACATTTGATACACAGAGAAGTTCATACATCAGACCAAGCAATCACACATCCCCTTACGATCAGAATAGAAAGGGAAATTTAACTCACAAGGAACCAAAGTTGTGGAGTCCTGGGCAAATAAGTGTTATAATGTATGGAGGACAGCTGGAGATCTACCACAGAAAAACTTGGGATGCTTGGCGGCCACAAAACAAACAAAAAGCCCTATAGGCTCCAGTGGTCCAGAGTCAGAGAACAGAAACTGTCTTAGTATGCATCACGAAAATCCTTCCGGGAGAGACAGGAAAGTAGTAAAACAATTATACAAAGCACAAACTATATCTCTTCAGAAGTGTTATATGCAGCTTCAGTCACTCAAAAAAAAAAACTTAAGTGCAAAAAGTAACAAGTACAGATAAGGCAATATATACCACCTCAGTCTTGAAGGGAAGGCAAGACAGCAGCTTTGCTATGCAATGCAACAGCCAAAGCACCAGTACTTCCCAGCAAGTCCTTGCCCAGGCACAGAGAAGGGCTACAAACCTGATGAGCAATAAGGAGATAGAACTGGGTATGCTCATCCTGTAAGACACAGGCTGAACAACTGCTGCCTGCCCCAGAGGAGACAGAGGTGAAAGATAAGTGGAAGCTGAAGGCCAACATTGCCTTAAGTACTCACAGGTAACATTATTTCTAACCTTGCAGTGCAAGCAAGGCTCTGGTCCAGAATCTCAGTCACTGCAGTTCATCTCCACCACTCAGGGAAGGTATGAGTCACTCTATCCCTGTATGCAGCAGGGTTTTCTGACACACAGCTGGTGGAAACTTCCCTTTTTCACAAGGCATTGATCAACCTCTCCCCAAATGCCTACAACTGCTGCTTCTACACTAAGACAGGAAGTACTACAAGTATCTAAACCACTCATTAACAGTCTTATCAGAAAGCTCAGGTGTATCAAATCATCCCTTTACCCCCATTCCTTATCCAGAGATATTTACAACACCTCTCAGTTTGATGAGAACTGCAAGCTACTACCCAGCAGAATCCTACACCTTCTTCCTCCCACCTCCTTCTGAAGCTCTTCTCAGCCAGCCTGTACATGAGGACAGCTGTTATGGCTAAGGACAGACCCAGAACACAAGAGGTTGGAGAGAAGGGTCATTAGACTGCTTGAGGGATGGGATAGAGTTACATCAGCTTGAGCACTAGGATGCTCCTGTCCCATATATTACCTTTTTGTCTATGGTGCTACAGCATATTTCAGATCAGTGGAAATGTTTTTCCCTTTCCTTCTACTGTTAAGCATTGCAAATGACCATGGCAGACCCAGGGACACTCAGCAAGAGGAAGCAGTGCCTATTGCTAGAGAGAAGCTTCTCTACATCAGCAACTCTTCTTCCTAGGAAAACTGCAGCTCAGCTCACTGGGATCAGCTACGTCAGGCCAGACAGATGGGAGCTGCATGATCTTTCTTCTCATGATGTCTAGCTCTTCCCCTTTTAATTACTTCGCTTCCCCTTTTCTTTCCCTTCAAGTCAAGGCAACCTGACCTGGTTCTCACTAATGAGATTGGCCTTGGCTGCTGCCATAAGCCTTATCAGTTACTGAACCTCTGAGTTCCCACCCTCACCCCTCCCGCACGCTGCTGCTCCACACACACAGAGGGAGGCAAGGAGAGCTGGGTTTGTTGTCCTACCCTGGGCTCATCTGGCCCCTTAGCTATTAGGCCAAATGGAGCCTAGGGTCACTTCTGCAAGAATCCCCCGCAGTGCCTCTCTTCTCCATCCCAGCACCCCACCACTAGCAGAGACTGGGGTCCTCTAGTTCAGGCCCTATCACAGTTGCATAGGGAAGCTGTATCTCTGCTCTTCCTCTACTCTTACACAAGAACAGGCAAGAAGTCTTACAAACAGCTCTGGTTTCAAAAAGTGAGGCATTTCAGTTAAAGGAAAACTCAGGCATTCTTAGGTGTTTCAGAAAGTAATTGGAGAAAGGGGGAATATTATGCAAACAATAGCACAGCTCTGGAGAGCACACACACAGAGGCAGCTTGGTCATGAGTTTAACCAGCAAAGCAGCCCAAAGGGGAAACACAGGCACCTGCAGTTGATCACCCTTCTGCACTTGGCAGAGGACAACTGAAAGAGCAACAAGCTAGAAAGGCATATTGAACACTTCGGCAGGCTTTCAACATCCTCACCATCTTCACACATTTAATGCCTGTTAGGACTCCAAGAAATTGCTACCCTTGCTTTCTGGGCTCCTGCTGCTTCCCAGCTCTAGCTAGGCTGGTGTCAGAAGGCACAACCTCGCCACCCCACAGCAGGGGCATTCAAAGCCTAGGCACCAAAGCCACCAACCACTGCCAGAAAGCAGCAGGGCTGTCAGTCTCCCCTTCACACGGGCTTACTGAAGAGGGAGCTAGAGAAAGCTGAACACCAGAGGTTTTGATTCCAGTCGCAGAATGAAGCATGCAGGCTTCTTCACTGTCAGACACCATCAGTCATCTATCCTGTCCCTCTGCCCAAGACTCAAGCTACATCCTTCCCCCAGCATTTATTAGCATCTAGCCTGCACATGAAAATAGGCTCAAAACACCAGGAGGGGGGTTCTCACCTCCCGCCCCCCAAGTCACTTCAGATTCTGAAACTAATGCATAGTCCATAGCCCCAGGCAAGTCACTGCATGCAATCGCACAGGCCTGTTTGCTGCAAACAATAGGTAGCAAGTAGGGCAATTCCCAAAAGACCACTGCTCTCCTTCGCTCAAGGCATTTAAAGCCAAGCTACAGAGAACTGCGTGAACTAGGCCAGGGGAGACCTTGCCCAGGCTCTCACATGTTTAGGGACTTGTGATCCACTAGATGTGGGCGAGTAGCAACATTCAGCTCACAAAGCAGAATGCCATTTGCAACATTTGTGACGTTACTATTTTGTTGTCCCTAAAAAAACCCACCCCACCACAGTTTCAGTCACAGAGATGGAGGGAAATGCCTGTTTCATCAACATCCTCCCAGTAGTACTGGGCAATTCCAGTCTGAAGGGGCATTCCTCTAGCAATGCCCATGGGGGAGGCAAAGCAGCAGCCTTCCTTTCAAGAGATTCAGCCCTTTACAGTTAGGCTAACTCTATTTCAGCATACTTTCATATGTCAGAGGTGGGGAAGGATTTTGACACTGAAAAGGAACAGATATTCCAACAAAAAAAAAAATCAAGTGAATCTGTTCAGTAGCTACTAATCAAGAAAAGGGCAGGTAGAGAGGAATAGAACAATAATCCTGTCTACTCTCCTGCAGTGCAGAAATAAATACTTCAGTCACAAGAAGTGGAGGAGCAAGTACTGCCTTGCTACATTCTGGATCCAAGATCCTTTCCTCCACTCTTCCTTGTTATTCCTTGTTTCATATCTAACCAAGTTCCTGAAGTCAGAAAGAAATAAACACAAAGAACACAATAGACATCTAGGGACTGGATCTTGAGCAGTTTTCAGTTTGCTACACTGTGCTCCGAGCTGCTCTGGGATGACATACATCAAGTGAAGCAGAGCAACATGCATAGCATCACTGAAGTGCAGCCACAAACCAGTGTGTGGGAGGTTTCAGCCAAGACCTTCCTGAAACAGTTTTTCTTAGTGCTCTAGGCATGTACTTCAGAGGATCCCTGAAACAGAAGGGCTCTAGAAGAGCCCTTCTTTTGTTGTCCCTAAAAAAACCCACCCCACCACAGTTTCAGTCACAAACAGATGTAGGGACATGGCTGAGGTAACAACACCCTCA